TAGTTCATAAGGAGTTTTATTCAAATTAGGCCTTAACAATACTCGATTTATAACATAGCATGCAGTATGAACTGCATCTGCCCAGAAATATTTAGGGGTATTACTTTCATTAAGCATGGTTCTCGCTAATTCTTCTAGCACACGATTTTTCCTTTCAACAACTCCATTTTGTTGTGGAGTGCTAGGAGCAGAGAACTGATGCATAATGCCGTGCTTATCACAGAATTTGTCGAACTGAAAGTTCTCAAATTCTCCCCCGTGATCACTTCGTATATATACTATTTTCAGGTTAAGTTGGTTTTGGATTTGCTTGGCAAGATTTTTAAAAGAGTTGAAAGCGTCGCTTTTAGCAGATAAAAATAATGTCCATGTAAAACGAGAGAAATCATCAACAATAACTAAAGCATAGTAGCTACCACCAAAACTCATGATTTGTGATGGTCCAAACAAGTCCATATGGAGTAACTCCAAAGGTCTTGAAGTGGATATCACATTTTTGTTTTTAAAAGAATTTTTGGTTTGTTTACACTTTTGACAAGTGTCACAAATCTCTTTAGTTTTGAAATTTAGTTTTGGTAGCCCTTCAACTAGTTGGTTTGATGACAATTTATCTAGATGTTTTATATGGATGTGTGCAACGCGTCTGTGCCAGAGCCAGATGTCATCTTCTTTAGAAATGAAACATTTTGAAAATAATGTGGTGACATCATCCAAGTTAACCATGTAAATATTATTTATACGATGACCAACAAATTTAACATTATTAGATAAAATGTCACGAATGATGCAACAGTCAGAATCAAAAGATACTCGATTACCTTTGTCACAGAGTTGACTTATACTTAGAAGATTATGTTCTAGTCCTTCAACATACAGAACATTTTCAATTTGAGTATAAGATGAGTTACCAACTGTTCCGGTGCCAAGTATCTTTCCCTTATTGTTGTCTCCGTACGTGACGTATCCTTTTCCTTTAAGTGATAGATCCAGGAAATTTGATCTGTCACCTGTCATATGTCTCGAACATCCACTGTCTAAGTACCATTTTTGTCCTTGTGTTCGAAGACATACCTGCAAAATAGATCACCTGCTTTTCTCAGGTACCCAGATTATGTTGGGTCCTTTTCTGTTAGTAATTAGGGAATTATCTCCCTTCTTTATCCATACATAAGCCCCGCTAGGTATACCATATTTTCTAATGTAACAAGAGTAAGAAGTATGACCATACGTATTACAATAAAAGCAAGTAGGAGAGCGCCTACGATTTTTATCCTTAGCATTAACTACAGGTTTTCTATATGGTCTCTTGTTTTTAGCAGAGCGAGTATAACCTAGACCAGTATGATCACCAACATTTCTTGTTTGACTGAGCAGAGTGTCTAATTGCTGTTTACTGTTTGTGAGACGTTCGAGTTTTTCTTTTAGTTTAAGATTGTCTTCTTGCAAAGTCTCGCAAGTCTCACATACAGGCTTTAGACATAAATTATCAGCAGAGCAGTCACATGTGTTACAAGAATAGATGAGATCTAAAGTTTCATTTTCTAATTTTAATTCATCTAATTCTTTTTGTAATTGGCTTAGCTTCTTTTCATTTCTAAGGATTTCCCTTTTCTGATCAACATTAACTCTAGCCAATTTCTTTAATTCCTCATGTAACTCAACATAAGCATTATATAAAATTTCATAAGAGGGTAAGTCATCCGAAGTGGATGAGGTGTCGGAATATACCTCATCATTATCCTCGTGTGAGTCTGAGTTGCCATTGTTGTCAGATCTGACCATCAGACACAGCTTCGCTGACTCCTCCTCACTAGAAGTGCTTGATGTTGTTTCCTCCTCAGGTACATCCCATACAATGTAAGCTTTCTTGGATTTGAATTCCCTGGGAGTGCTCTTCTCTGAATCAACCTTTTTCAGATAGGTAGGACATTGAAATCTCATATGTCCGGCTTTTCCACACTCATGGCAAGTGAAGCGATCTTTGTTGTTCTTGCCTTTGTTGGTTGACTCTTTCGCTTCTTTCTTCTGAAACTTCTTGAATCCTCCTTTTCTTTTGATGAATTTGCTAAATTTGCGAACAAGGAGATTCATAGTTTCATCATCTAGATCGGAGTCAGATTCATCATCATCTTTATCTTCTTTTGATTTAGAGGTCGTGGCCTTTAATGTGATGTTTTTCTTTTTCCGATCTGAATCTTCGTGCATAGTCAAGCGCCCCAATTCCATTTCGTGCTCTTGAAGTTTTCCAAATAAAGTAGCTAGAGGCATAGAGTCCAAATCTTTGGATTCAACAATTGCAGTTACCTTTGGTTGCCATTTCCTGTCAAGACAACGCAAAACTTTATTAGTTAGTTCACCTCTGGCAAAAGATTTATCTAGAGCAACTAAATGATTAACAATATGAGTAAATCGCTTTTGCATATCACAAATTGATTCACTAGGTAACATGCGAAATAACTCATACTCATGGGTAAGCGCATTTAATCTAGCGCGCTTGACTTCGCTAGTGCCTTCATGAGTCACTTGTAAAGTGTCCCACATTTCTTTTGCATTTTGGCACTGCGAAACTCTAAAGAACTCATCATAGGATAGGGCCGATGTGATGATATTTTTGGCGCGTAGATTATGCTGCACCTTTTTGCGCTCATCATCGGTCCATAGACTTTTAGGCTTGTCTTTAGGTTCATTGTCCACAAGATGTTGTGGAACAAAAGGGCCGTTGACTACGGATTCCCAAATATCCGAGTCTATGGCTTCAATAAAAATTTGCATGCGGACTTTCCAG